TGCTCGGCCAATCTTCTTTGCATTTCACTGAAATTCCATTTCATATAGTATCAACAACCGAAGCAATCAAAATTCATAATGAAAACATCTAAAGAAATGCCAACGAATAACTCACTCGAAGTTCTCCTGATCAATGTAAACACCGTTCTTGTCTCGAGCTGCTTGTAAGTCTCTTTTGAGTTTTTCCAGTTCATCGTTGTATTGCTGTAAAATTATTCATTAATGCTAATGAAACGAACACTGCGAATATGCGATCACAAACTAAAACTGTGCGATGGTTAATAAAACATAAATGAACAATTGAAAACAAATAAAGGAATACCCTAAGGATGGCACGACGAGACAACTTCTGATTGATTTCTGGATGATTCTTGATGTTCTTCGCACTCGATGCATATTCCAATGTATTCGTTGACTCCTAAAAGGAACAAAATCAGCGAAAGAAACAAACCAAACTATTTTCTTGACAGATCGTTTCAGAGAAAATCTTTCACACACTTCTCAACAAGACGTGAATATTCGAATGGAACAATCTTGCCGAAAAACTAATCACCATCAAGTTTATTTAACTGTGTAACGCTTATCAAGCTGCCTCGTGTTTTCAATTATAATATAATTACGTTATATAATGATATAATTAATGATACAACTACGTTTGAATTTGCTAATTATCAAAAGTTCACCTCAATATTACTCGATGCTGGAGACAGAGTTGCTATAACAGTGGTGATTGTTTTGCCACCCAACGAATCTTGCAAAATACGCGTCAATTTGCTCTCTCTGAAAGGTTTTCATCCCATAAATATGACGAAATTACTACGCAAAACAAGTGAATATGCCGGACTATTGGTCCAGCTTCATCGAATATCGTAATTTCATACATGGTTCATCCATAAAAATACTTATCCTTTATCTGCCATCATTTTAATTATTTTCATAATCCGAAATAATCAAAGAACCGACTCAAACTATCCAAAATTGTGAATTTACATCGCAGTATTACCTGTACGGTATGTGGCCAGCACCACTTGTTAACGCCGTAATCACTCGACCGAGAGTCAACAGGGACTGGTTGATGTTACCTATAATGATATAACAATGGAATAATTCTAATACCATCTTATTTTACCTTACAACACAGAAATAATACAACAAGATCAATGAATTGAAACTACGAAAAGCACAGCTTCATCGGCTCAACGATTCGTTCCCTTATTCACACCAAACGGAATTGCTATGCCGACCTGACGGTGATTCTGATTACCAATCCGTCTTTGAAACATCAAATTAATTTTCAATTAATCTAATTTCAGGAACACTAAAGCAAGGAAATTCAACTATTCCTAGTAGTCGATTATCGTCTGTTATCTTTCATACAACCCTACCCAAATTGTGCTAACAGTTCGAAATCAAAT